TTTTTTTAATCTTCTTCTTCTTCTTCTTTAACGATAACGAGAGGTCGTGTCTACTATTACTCTCCATCCGTCCATCTATTTTTTAATTACAGCCTATAAAATACTCGAGAAGCAGCGAGGAATTTGCGCTTACTCGAGCGCATACCTCCCTCTCCCCCCTCACCACCAGCCCTCTTTCCCTCCTTCACCCTTCACGACCGTCACCCTTTCCCACCCTTTGAGAAGGGATATTTATATGAGTAGGAAACACTCTGGCAAAGCTGGATTTTCAATGGCGAGTCATATCTGTGTGTGTATATACGTATACATATATGTATATATGTATTTATGTATGTATGTATGTATATGTACGTACGTATACGTAATATACGTGTAATCTTTTTACCTTTTGTCCAACGTAACACTCGTTATATGAGATAAATTAAAGGTTTTCGTAACATTGTTTCAAACCGTTCTACATTTCCCCCTGCCCCCTTGCCCCTGCCCCCTGCTACCTCCCACCTGACCCTTCTCTTCTACCTCACCCACCCACAAGAGAAAATAAAACTTTCTTTTAATTTTTATTTTCTTTGTATAAAATTTAAAATTTTGTATATAATACATATTATACCAATAAAAAGAGAGAGAGAGAGAGAGAGAGAGAGAGAGATAGAGAGAGTTCATTTTTTCTCGATAATATCGTTAATATTAATATTCCCAAATCCGTTTTTGCGTGTTCGAGTATATTATCTTATTAGAAAATAATCTAAAAATATAATATAAATCGTTCTTAGAAATAGCAATTAAAAAAAAAAAAAGGTATTATAACAGGACAAAGTCCTAATAAAATGAGGAAGAAGAAGAAGAAGAAAAAGAAGAAGAAAATAATTTAACAAATAATAATAATAATAATAAAAAAAAAGAAAAAACGCTATCGGAGATGAATATCGTTGGCAGGATGTTCGCAGGTTGAGGGTAAGTAAACTACTGAGAATGATCGTAAATCACTTTGGTACGACATAGATGATGGCATTCCTAGAGAGTACCAGAGTAAGAATAAGAGAGAGAGAGAGAGAGTGAGAGAGAAAATGTCTAATGAATCCTAATGAATTATCGTCGAAAGTGTAACGTTCTCTCCATGCCAGAACTACAAGACAAATTGCTTTGATCGTTAGTAGTAAAAGTAAGAGTAAGAGTAAGTGAAAAAGCTAAAGGAACGAGAGAAACAGATAGAGAAAGAGAAAGGGGTCGAAGAGGGGGGGGGTGGTTAAAGGAGTAAAGGGGGAAATGGAGAGTAATCTAGTACCAATGTCCTTTTAATTAAAATTGCAAGATGCTTCGTGTCTAGCAGTGCATGGTTTGAATCAAACGATCGATGATTAACCAACGTAGGTTATACATATGTATATATACTTACATGTTATGTGTGTATGTGTGTTGTGTGAGTGTTCGTTTGTATGTGAAACGTACCATGGTAATGACCGTCTTGATGGCTTCAGCCGTGGCTTCCTCGCTCGATGGCGTCTCGACGAGGGTGCTGCCCAAATATTTGAGGGTGAACCTGGCCTCTGATGCATCCTCGGATTCCTCATGCGTCGAGGCTACAGTTCCGGTACTCTCAACGCATTCGCGACTGTTTGCCAAGGCCCATTCCTCGCATAGTTCTAAAAGTTTAATAATAAACTTTAGTTTCATTTACGTATTATAACGAAAGGGTACCACCACAAACACACCCCATTTCATTCCTTTTCTATCTTCTCGTAATAACGATTTGAAAACTATTCTCTAATGCATTTCTTTATTTTTTTTGTTTGTTTTTAAAACACATTTCGATTGTTACTCTGTTACTCATTTTACACACATTCGCGAGATATATTTTATTTTTAATTAAATACATTATTATTATTATTATTATTATTATTTGTTATATATATCTCTATAGGAAGTATCTGTGTAATATGGGATATTTAGAAATATGTATTATCGAGATAAAAATTAAATGGACTGTTTATTTTGAAAGTGGTGTAAGTCCATTTTCTGTGTTGTTTTGAGAAATATTAAAGGATTGCATATATTAGTTAATTTAAAAATATTCATTAATTATATCAAGTTTGACAATGTTTCTATTAATTTATCGATATGTAATTTGTATATGTTACCGTCAAAGCCGGAAATCAGTTATTGCTAGTAATTCCTCGGCATTATTGTAAATGCAAAGAGCCTTCAGACGAAGTCGGAAATTAAAAAATTCTTCCAATTTTTTCTAGGCATTGAACATAATACTTTGATATTCTATAGAATATCAAATTACTATTTAAACAACATTGAAAATAATACATCCTCGGACAGGCACACACAGCACTACGCAACCATTCAAAGAAATATCAGAGAATGCAATGCTGTAAATTTTTCCTACTTTGCAATTTCTTTGAAAAGTTTCGGAAAATATTTTTTATACTAAAAGTGAATAGATTTTAATAAAATTTATTGGCCTTAGGCAATGTGGACAATGTCTAATCCGCAAACTATTCTTTGCCATTTTATGAACCTTTGCAGATTGATTTATACTGCGAAAAGGTACTCTACGTGTAGCCAAAAGTGTGCACTTTAATTTAATATAAAAATCATTAAAATCTATTAACTTTTAGTATAAAAAATATTTACCAAAACTTGACAAAATGGGCAATTGAGCAAAAGGATTAAAGTAAAAGGTATCTCCTTCTGTACACTTTCTTTCTTTTTTAATCCCATTTGTTTGTTCAGAAAAAAACAAACACTTTTTGATATCGTCAAACTTCACGACTATCAACTTTCCATCGATGTGTTTTCAGCAATAAAGTAAAAAATCGAATTTCAGAAGTTTCCCCCATTTTTATTCGACAAACTGCAACTACTACTACTACTATAGGAGGAAACTTGATATCGTATGTCTCTTTGATATCCCTGTATCTTTCTTCTTTCAAAGTTATCGGTTATCATCAAGAGTATCGATAAAACAATGTCACACTTTTTTCAACGTAATGATAAATATAGTCAAACAACAAATTTGGTTATACATATTCAATGTACCTACTTTAAAACACAGATATATCATACAAAAAACAAAAAAATAAAAAAAAATAAAAAAGCAACAAAATAAATAAATAAATAAAAGAAAAGAAAAATAAAGAGAGAGAGAGAGAGAGAGAGAAAGAAAAGTGTCAGTAATCGTTATCGCATGTTTCAACGAGACATTTGCAGTTACTTTCACGTCTCCTTTACTGGAATTCGTTTTGCATTCATTCGTATCTTAACAACCCCCAACCTTACCCCTCCCCATCTCCTCTCCCCGTTCCACCTCTTCTTCCTGCTGTGTAAAAGAAACTTCAACTTATCCCTTCCTCTCTCTCTCTCTCTCTCTCTCTCTCTCTTTCTACATCTCTTTCTTTATTCCTTCCCTTTTCTCTTTTTCATAGTGAAGTAATTGCGCCGTCTAATTTTCCTTTTTTACTTTTCCAACATCCATCCAAGGAAAAACTCTCCAATTAAGTTCGTCTCTTCGCCTTTTGCTCGTAATCATGGTCCAATTAAGAAGACGAGCAGTCGAAAGAGCACCACCACCACCACCACCCACCACCACCACCACCACCACAACCACCTACCCAGTTTCTTACTACTATTATTGCAACCTATCGATGGATGATTCACCTTTCGATAACTTTTTCTTTTTTTGATCGAAAATATTTCGTCCTCCTCCTCCTCCTCCTTTGTTATGGTCAATTTTGATTAATAAATTTCGAACGGGAAAAAAAAATTAATTTAGAATCCATGAGACTTCGGATAAATTCGAAATTGATCGAACGTTTTGGATCTTTCTTTTTGGTATTTTTTTTCTTATTTTTTTTTCTTGAATATTTCGTCCCTTTACGATCTCAATTTTGATTAAAAAAATGTAGAACGAGTGTTTCAAG